CCCTTGTCCCTGTCTCCCCTTGTTCCCGTCCCCTGTCACCTTGGCCCCATCCCTTCCCCTTGTTCCCTGTCCCCTTATCCTGTGTCCCCTTGTGCCCTGTCCCCCACCCTGTCCCCTCGTCCCCCATCCTATTGTCCCATCATCCGTCGTGTTCCCATGCCCCCTATCCCCCATTCCCCATCCTGTCCCCTTGTCCCCATGTCCCCTTGTCCCCATCCTCGTCCCCTCACCCATCATGTTCCCATGTCCCTTGTCCCCATGCCCTTGTCCCCTTGTCCCCATCCCCTTGTCCCGGTTCCCTGTCACCTTGGCCCCGTCCCTGTCCACTTCTTCCTTGTCCCTTTATCCCATGTCCCCTTGTGCCCCGTTCCCCATCCTGTTCCCTTGTCCCCGTCCCCTTGTCCCATCACCCGTCATGTTCCCATGTCCCTTGTCCCCATCACCTTATCCCATCACCCATGATGGCCTCCTGTCCTCTTGTCCCCTTGTCCCCATGTCCCCTTGTCCCCATTCTCTTGTCCCATCACCCATCATGTTCCCATGTCCCTTGTCCCCATCCCCTTGTCCCCTTGTCTCCATCCTCTTGTCCCCATCCCCTGTCACCTTGGCCCCATCCCTGTCCCCATGTTCCCTGTCCCCTTATCCTATGCCCCATTGTCCCCTGTTCCCCATCCTGTCCCCTTGTCCCCATCCCCTTGTCCCATCGCCCACTGTGTTCCCATGTCCCTTGTCCCTTGTTCCCTTCTCCCCCCCCTGTCCTGTCCCGCTCCCCTTGTCCCCCTTGTCCCCTTGTCCCCTGTCCCCGCAGATCCGGCTGCTGCGGGGGCCACTGGCCTTCGGGGCGGTGGGGCTGGGGACACGCCTGGGGGACGAGGACTCGCTGGGTTCCTCCGACGAGGAGCTGCCACCCTTCGCCCTGACCCACGGGGACATCGGGGACCTCAGGGACCTCGGGGACATGGGAGACAGCAGCGACAGCGAGACCGAGGGGGCACCCACGGCACCGTGACCCACGGGGACGTCAGGGACATGGGGGACAGCAGCGACCAGCGAGACCGAGGGGGGCACCCATGGCACCCTGATCCACGGGGACATTGGGGACGTCGGGGACGTGGGGGACAAGCAGCAACAGCAAGCCCAAGGGGCCACCCCAGGGACCCTGACCCATGGGGACATCGGGGATGTGAGGGACCCACCAGCCCCATGGCACCCTAGGGGCACCCAGGGGACACTGAGGGATGCCCACAGCACCCAAGGGACACTGAGGGCCCCCAGGGGACACTTAGGGGACACTGAGGACACCCATGGCACCCAGGGGACACCCAGAGGACACTAAGGGACACCCACGGCACCCAGGGGACACTAAGGGCACCTGTGGGTCCTGTGGCACCCAGGGGACACTGGAGGACACTAAGGGACACGCAGCGGCCCCATGGCACCCAGAGGACCCTTAAGGGACACCCACCACACCCAGGGGACACCGTGGGCACCTATGGGCCCTGTGGCACCCAGGGGACACCGGGGGACACCCAGAGGACACTAAGGGTCACCCATGGCACCCAGGGGACACTAAGGGACATCCATGGCACCCCAGGGCGGGATCCGGCTGGGGGGGGGGGTCAAGGTCTTGGGCCTGTGGCTGCCCCAAGCACCCAGCAGGGCCCTGAGCGGCCAGATCCTGCACACGGAGGGATCCCGGGGCACCACTGGATCCTTGAGCGGATGGATCCTGCACACAGTGGGATCCCAGGGCACCGCTGGATCCCTGAGCGGCCGGATCCTGCACACGGAGGGATCCTGGGGCACCGCTGGATCCCTGAGCGGTCAGATCCTGCACACGGAGGGATTCTGGGGCACCACTGGTTCC